TTGTTTAGAACACGTTTGGTCAAAGGATCGGCTTCACTTGTCTCTTTGACGAGTAGCTGTATGGTGCTTAGGATGGCGATAAACTGACGATGCCGACTACGATGCCGGTGAAACGTTTGGGAATGTACCACGTCCACGGTTCTACTTTCGAAATGATCATGCAGGCAATGGACCTCGGACTAGGTGGGTTCCAATAAGTCTTCCTACCAAAATGGCCATGTTGCTAAAACAAGGTCAAACAACCTCTAAGAAAAACTAGGGTTTCAAATAATTCCTTAGTGATCTAGTATGGAATCAATTTCCATTTCGAAGTAAAAGTTGCTTGAAAGGAATTCGAGAAATGGTCGCCTTGGAAACCGAAGGAGAATTGCCGTAGAGTGACGACTGTTAAATTGTGCCAACAAGTTTTCAGCTCACCGTCTTTCGACCCCGATGAACCACATCGTAGGACGGTGAGCAGAGTACATTTTCACACAATCCAACAGTCGTAATTCTGCCAAACTCCTCCTTGAGTTTCTGTGAGGTTATTCATTTTATTGTTTATTTCATGTAAAGCATGAAAAATAAACCTATTTTAGTTGACTGGATTGGCAAATGTAAATAGATGTTAGTTTCTGGTTCTGAAGATGACTGTCAAACGATAGAACAAGATTCGGTACAGATTAATCACGATTGTAGAAGGGTGTTCCGAGAAATTCTGGGGTCACAACAACAAGCAGTTCCTACCTCTGTTTGCTGTGATGCAAATTAAAAAATTTACTCCACCCAAAATGAAATGAAATGTTTCACACTACGTTGGTCTTCTTGATGGAATAAAAAGAGATTCGGAGGTCGATCCCACCAGAAGAGGACGGCGGATTCCTCTTTACCAGCGGTCGATTGGCTCTAACGGAACATTCTTGTTGACGCTATTTCCGCAGTAATCTTCGCCGATTCCGGTGAAAACATGACAAGCTTTCCTCCGTAGTATGACGGATATACTCAGAACAGGGTATCATCCATACCTTGATGTCAAGAATGTGACGTGTTTGATCTACTTCGTTGAATTATACCACAAGCATATGGATCTCAAAAGCCTACTTACATACGAAAAAACGAAATGTACTATGAGATGTATTCACACAATTTCGTTTAATGTGATGAAGGACTGGTAGAAGAAGAATTTTCCCACAATGATATTAGTTCACCTGACGTTTCCGGTGAATTTCACATAGCCTTGCTTTCCCAAAAGTTATTCTCATTTAGGCACCAGTGGACTGCAGTTTCGACCTTGTATCGGTCTTATCAACACCCCCAAGGCTATGTGAAAATTCAGTGGAAACGTCAGCTCGACTCATATCATTGTGGGAAAATTCTTCTTCTACCAGTCGAAATTGGGTGAATACATCTCATAGTACTGATTTACTGGTAGCCACGAAAACAATACTAAAATTGGAAAAATAAACATAATCTAGTCGATTGCAATTAAAAATATAATTTTGCTGCATCAACAATCCCACCACAATCCCACCATGGGAGAATGCCTAACCTTACTTCAAATTCACATAAGCCCTGTCATCTAAGAGCACTTGTGGCAATGTTGCTGTTTCGAGTCCCACCGGGGGCTGATGAGACCCAAAAGAGGTCGAAAGGGAATACTTTTTGGGAAAGCAAGGTTATGTGAAATGCATATGGTTGAGGGAAACTTCAACTACAAGTCCCTCAATGAGATTACACTAAATATATTCTATGCTCTACTGGTGGTTTCGAAAGCCTGCTTACGAGGGCAAAACAAATTAGTTTATTCTATATTCACTTGAACAACCAGAAATGGCAACTTGCCTTTCTAATCTCATTCTATGCTAAATTTAATTATTCTATCGAATTGAGTCATTAAAGCAAGAAATATATACCATTTAAATTAGTTAAACTAATGGTTGAACATTTTCCTCACTCTGCATCCATTAAAATCTGAGGATGCTAAGCTGACTTCGACTCTAAGACTTGCCATTTCGAGAATTCTCGGACCCTCTTTGTGAGTCTTCTTGCTGCAGAACTTTGCGCTCATGTGACAGTGTCTATCTGAAGGAGGCATGCTGTAGAAGAGGCAATCTGAACACAAAACCGCCCAAACTCTGCACTGGGCAAACACGTGGCCAACAAAAGAGAACAAATAAATTGGTGTATAATGCAAATTTGGCAGGCTTCGAGAATCTACATCCTAGATTAAGATTAGTGAGCAGTTAGACAATAATGCAGCAGCGAACTAACAGGAATCGGATGAATGGCTGTAGGAAGTTAGACATGAAATATTTGTGGTTGTTGCATAAACTCGACGAGAGCGGGTGAATGGCCGATATAGATGGAAAGATAGATGGATGAATAGATAAATAGAGATAGAGAGAGAGAGAGAGAGAAAAGTGGAAATGAAGAAGCGCTGAGCAGGAGAAGGAGGCCTGAACGGCATCGAGTCTTGTTAATGCTCCCATACCGCACATGATTCGTACATTGCATACGGACAAAAGGTAACACGAGATGTACAAAGATACGATAAAATTGCAGAATCAAAGACTGGTTAATTTAGGCGAGGAAATAACTCTGACCACATCCAATTTCCTTTCATGAATTTACTTCGAGCATCTGCAAGTATGTGGGGCAAACGTGAAGTAACCAACCAAATCATGAGATGCCTCATTAACATCGCGAAAGTGAGTCTCACAAGTGAGTATAATTGCAGCCGGTCACCCTTCTCTTTGTTGAGACTAATTTAGACTTTGACCACAAAAAGATGCTTGTCCGATCTGACGCTTTCTGTCACAACGAAAGAGAAAACAGTTCAGCATTGCTCGTTCTGAGTCGGAGAACGGTGAGCAGATAACTTCCTGACACAACCCAAAAGTTGCTCCTCAAAGGCAAATCTCGTTCGAAATTGGATGAGTCAATTCTTCTTTGTTTTTCGATGAGGCTATAAGCGACTTCCATCCAATTAGATTCTCTAAAAAGTGCCAATTTTAGTCATATTGAATTCTAAAGATTTTCTAGAAATTCATATTTTATTTATAATTACGAGAGACGAAGTGTTGTCGATGTATAAGCAGCACCCATTCTCAATTCCATTTAACGAAGTTGGCAAATCAGCGCCGGTTATCCACGTCCAAACCAGATGGGACCAGACAAATGTGAATTTTAGTACATCTGAGTAGCCCAAGTTGAATTGACAACAGATAGTCAAGGTATTACCACATTTAGATAAGTAGACTGCACAAAGCCATACGATTTTGCACATTCATGTATCTTACATGTTATTGAGTTTACTTCCATTTCGAGTTATAGTGTTTGGTGAAGAGCTTCAAAGGTCGGTTCCACCAGAAGACAACGACGATTCCTCCTGACCAGCTGTTGATTAGCTTTAC